TAAATCTGTAAAAACAATGGATGTCTCCTCTTGTAAGGAACGACTAGTACCAGGAGTACCTTGGATCTTCCTTGCGATGTAATAATAATAATGTTTATTATACCCAACAGACCAAGGTCTACAAGGATAACATATAAACTCATTTACAGTACATGAACAAATAAAGTACAAAATATCAAGCTTATTAGATATAGAATCATCAATATAACTTTCTGCTACAGCGGAGCTTCTCCACCCACCATGTCATTTTATTCTTCTGAGGTCAGCATCTTTAGAAGCAACTCTTGAAGGAACTTTCGACAAAGTGTTGATTCCAATAGGTTGTGAAGTACATTTTTGATTAGCGTTTCGTAAAAAGAATCTGTCATTTGGAAACTTCTTCAGACGTAAGGACATGTATTTTCTACACGTCTCCACAGAACTGTTAAAGAATCCTTCTTCTAGAATTGTGAATTTTCATGAAATGCTTGGTATCTAGTATCGAAATACGCAGATATGCGCCCCTGTCTTCTACATCAATGATTTTCTAATTTGTCAGTTCACAGCACACAATTGCTTTCTTGCATTTTTCACCAACTTCACAAATTTTCACAAATGGAGTCGATAAACAATAGAATCTACATAGCAATCATTCAACACCTTCCATTTTTTTTTAAATTAATTTCAATAATAATTTTTGACGTTACAGCCGCTATAAGAGCGAAATGTCAAATAATTTTTTGATGAAATGATCGTGATTGTGGATAAAACGCTCTTTAAAATACTCTTACAATAAATAACTATTAATATATGAAACATTTAGGCAACCAGTTGCGTGTGATCTTTGTCATGCCTTTGTCCTTGGGCATTTAGTAAAGTTCATATCTGAGAGGCGGCACGTTTTCATGACTTACTTCGACCCTATAATCATTTATAGAAACACTGTATTAGCTTAGATTTGTCACAAAAGTGACTAAGGAAGTTCGAGTCAATCATGTTAACAGTCTAAAATCAATTGTAGTAATACTGGATTTTGATTCAATTTTTCTATTATTCTGAGTTACTCAATTCGTGTAATTAAGTTTAGCGCAATTTGTGTGTGTAAGTAGTGTTGTGTCCAACACTTTATGTGAGGGTCTTTGATGAACACCTTTACCTTTCCAACTCATCGCACTAAACTAAGTATGTAGTATCACTCGTTGTTTGTGCCTGCTTTTATCGCGTTTCTCCACGGAGACGAGTGACCGTGGTTTTACAATTTCTCGTGTTAAGACGAGAAAATCCCCTAAAAGAGTGAGGTATCATAAAAACAACTTAAAAAATATTAGTATAATTTTTGTAATTTTATAGACCTATTAAGCTGATTCACCTCAGTTTCCATTCAAAAACCAAACAATATCTTTAGCTGTCAGTGATCAAGAAAAACGTACTTTTTACGGCCAAAATGTCCAACCACCGAATACACATTTTCACATGCTAACTTTCCTTGAAACTAACGACGATATTCTTCAACAAAATGTTCAAGTTCAAGAGTGAAACACATTGTAACTATTTTCTTGGTAGTCCAACGTAGTATCTCCTCAGGCTAAGTTTAACGATGCTATTGCATATGTTAGTAACGATAAACCAACTTTTTTAATGCTAATTGAAACGTGATTGTCATTATTAATCACGGATTCCTTGGTATCATTAAATGGTTACACAATTTTCGGGAAAGAATACTTAATAGTGGTAGGTTAGAAGGTTGAGCTTTTGGAAAGTGATACTAGCAATGTAGATTCTTGTGTTAGTTTGTATTTAGGAACGTCCTAAACCATCATCATTAATCAAATTGTGTCTCGACCAACAACCTTGTTATTAGACTTAAGTTTAACTTCTCAGAATAGCTCTCTAGCTAAACCCAGTTAATGAGTCCACCACGTAACATTTAAAGCTAATATACAGCTACACACATCGACGAAGAACCAATATCCATTCCAAACTTGTAACAAACTCTTATGATATAAATGATTACCGTCGTAATGTCGATTGTATAGTAGTTTTCGGTTAGTATAAAATGGAAGTCGTTAAAAAATAACACGGGAAAAACTTTTACGTTGGATCGAAGCATTCCCCTGCAAATGTAGCTTTCGAGTTTCCAGTGGTGCCACAAGGATATGTTTTTGGTCCACTCTTATTTATAATTTATACAGTTATAAATAAGGATACGTTTGAAGTCTCTTTCTGTGATATTTTTTGATGATTTAAAAATTTATAGGATATTTTGGGTTTTGGGCGAGGATATGCTGACAGTCTGCACTTGGTCAAATGAATGCTTGTTGCACTTAACACCGAACAATGTAAGATATTGTGTCTTGGGACCAATAATCCAAGACATCCATATTATATTGTTAGTGTTGTAATCAGTAAATTGGAATTCTGTGTTGACTTGGGTGTGACGTTATCAACATTTTTGTAAGAACACGTATATCAATTTGGATAAATGCACTGTGAAATCAATAATAATAGTACTGTATTCCCAAATATTCGGGAAAATGGAGTGAATCGTTTTTGATTTAATGAATAAAATAAATTGCCCCATTCATTAATTTTTTTGAGTCACCCTGTGTAAGTAATTCTAAAACCGCAAGTTATCATATTTTGCATTTTTCATAGACGATTTATTCGAAAAAAAATTGAAATCACGTCATTAATTTATTTGGAGGGGATGAATGAATCAATTTTATTAATGATTTACCATGATTACAATAATCTCAAATCGTCTGCAAGATTTCAGAGCATTCGATTTTGCAGTTTCAAAATTAAACTGCAATCATACACGGCAAGTACAGAAATATCTTTTTTTTAGCATGATTACTAAAATTTTGATTAGATTTCTACCATCTACATAATATTTCTAATATACATAAAAAATTTCACAACAATCGGTGCAGTGGTCATGGAAAGTCGAGAAAACATGAAAGTGGCAAGTGGCCCGATAGACTCGATTCGTATTCTATACACGAAAATAAAAAAATTAAATACGCTATTTCAAAAGTAAAAAATATTAGAAAAAAAAAACAAAACATGTACATCTAAATAGTAAAATACTAAAACAGAGTACACAGTTTCCACAAAGTGGAGTAGTGTTTATTTCATCAAACTCTACAAAAACATTATTAGAATAGGATTCGAACCGCACCACAGTTTTTATATTTCCAGAAGGATTTATTTAGTGTCTTTGATTTGATATCATCAATCGCTTAGTAGGTATAAACACATAATTTTAGCAATCTTATTTTAGAATACAAACGAGATTAATGAAATAGTTTTATTAAAGCACTAACACACCAGATTTTATTTCAAAGACAATTAAGACAATAGTTTTCTCTAGAAGTTATGTAAAAAAATCATATGTATAGGTTCCAGTATGAACAGCAATGATGACTCATTGTCGCTGACAGCGGCCGGAGAAAAGTCTTGAGGCGGATCGCGATGGATTCCAGAAAGACCTCGATCACGAAACCTCTAGAAGGAGAGTATACGTTTCAATAGAAGCCACCTGCGGGAACGATCATTATTCAGCAATTCAGTCAGTCAGGAGTCTAGCGAACGAATTCAGTCGAATCGCGCCGGAATTATTTTCTACGTAATGGCTGTGCAATCAGTCGTGTGAATTTGAGGTACTAAGAAATAATTTGTTTAGTTTAACCCACGCTGATTTTATTTACGGATCAACGTAATAATATTTAATGCTTTGTGATCACTGTAATATTAAACCAAATTTACAAACAAGTCCATCTTTTACTGTAAATTGTAAACATTGATTTCATATTCGTTTTCGAAAATTCGTGTTAAAATAACGACAGAAGTCAGTTATCTAATTATTATTTATTGTTAAGACAGCAGCGGCATGTAACAGTTAACAAACAAGTTTTGAGATGAAGTTTTAATTTTTTAACTTTGAACATTTTGTTTTGGCTTCATTCACTTTTGAAGGTAACGAGCTCTTTTGGAGTATCGAGTTTTAAGTTTCCTTGACTTTTACTCAGGAAATATGAAAATGCAGATTTACATTTTCCCAGTACATATGGTACCGGTCAATGTTTTCTTTTTATTTCACTAAATCTGCTGAATTACAACATAAAATCTTAGATACAAATTAAAATTATGGTGAATGTAGTGCATGTAAACGAAAATATTTCTACTAATTATTTACACTAAATCCGCTCTCTACTTTAAATTTACTTGTAATGGACCACTAGATCTCAAACAAATTAAGTCTGTGGCATCAAAATCTACAAATTTTCGTAAGATTAGGACAACAATTATCTTCAAGACGTTGGTGACATATTAAATAATGTTAAAGATCTATTGAATAATACATGTATTAATAATTATTTAAGCATTACCAGTATATTTTACATGTAATAGTTGCTTTTTAAATTTTTCAAAATATTTCCAGTTTTTAACGTTTTCACAAATATTTCAACTACGTTAAAACTGCATTATTTCTACAAAACTATCACAGATTCGAAACCACAATCGAAATGGATTCTGCTAACGTATTTATTCAGTAAATTTTGTAGGAATCTTTTCTGTTATCTATGTTATGTTATGTAACACACTCTTACATCCTATATTTATGCAGTAATTTTAGCTAGTATTCCCCGTCGTTGACAAAATTATTATATTTATTCATAATTAAACCACTAAATCACAGAGCTCTGAAATTTAATACTTACAATAAAATAGGACATAAATATGAATGTATAAAACAAATCTAGTGAATAAATAAACGTTTTTACTTACATATGCTAGTCCTAAACTTTTAAGGATGTTGAAGTGTGCGAAATCTACAATACCGCGAACAAACACGAAGATATTTCCCTTCAAAATCTAAATGCGCACTTATAACATTCGCAATAGCAGACAAAAGCTCTTCCACTAGTGCCTAAAGCTCGTTTAGTTCGCCCGTTCGCCGCGCATCGCTGGGGCGCTTTAAGCGTTGAGGCTGGGCTGTTCCAGTACCTCGTGGACCACCGTCACGTTCATGTAGAAAAAGCTCCGGGTGTTTTGCGTGCCAATACGAAAATTGCCCCAGTGTTCGCCGCTTAATTGGGGAATGTGCGACCGGGGCGCGTTCGCCCGGAAAAACTAATTCCGGTCGACTCCGTGTCGCTCTCGATGTGAAAACTTTTTTTGAAAAAAATTATGTGATTTTCAAAAATTATGTGCTTGAGCGTCTTCAGTGCTTAAGGTGATGGCAGTATTCAAGTAAAGTGGTGCTATGTCGGCTTTGATTTTTTTCATTAGGCGTGAAAACGCAAAGCGTTGAATTTTCATGAAGCGCATTATTTTGGGGAAATTGCTTCAAATGAGTATTCTGGAGGCGATTAGTATTTACTTTGCGTAATTAAAGATTGTGGGAGGGTGCGTTGCAAAAATAATTTCGTTCAACTCCGGCGTCAACAACAATAAAACAGGGAAGGGTTGAATTGGTTTCAATTAATTTTTTATGGCTTGGATTAGTACAGATTGAACGCAGAATAATTATTATTTACTTGTAAATTACCGAAAGGGTGTTAAATAATAAATTAAGTTAAATTGATCGCAGATGCCGAATAATATTACCACTTCTAAAGCAATTAAAGCATTCTTTTCAAAGAATCTAGCACATTTCGGCTGCAAACAATCGTGGTTGTATTTCAATAATTCATATTTCGCTTTTCACTGTAATCTTGCTTTTGTCCCTCTAAGGGCACTTTAAGGCCACGCCGTTAATGAAGGCTTTTATCTTTATCGCCTAACAAGATACGATCCGACAATTTTTTTATTAAATAACGGCCATATTGAATTTTTGCCCTTCTAAATGTCTTTTATTCCCTACGCCAAACGAGCTTGATTTAAAATAATCCGTTTTAAAAACTGCGTATAATGGCAATGGTTTTCACCGCGATGAAAAATGTTCACTGAAAAGAGGCTTTGATTAGCATAAATAAACGGTTTTAAGTTTAAAAATAGTATCTAAACAAAATATATTGTATTAGAAGCAGAATACGGACTAATACAAAATATATTCTTGTTCGTAAGACCCAAATCTTGCAATTATGATAATTTTAAAATTTAGAGTCACTTTAATTCCACAATTAACACAAATAGGTCGCGCTCCAAAGATGGCTCTACTACGTTATAAGACCTTAACATAAAGCACAAAATTCTAATCCTCTACTCGATTTGTTTTGCGCGAGTAACTTCTTAAAACTCCTAATTTCTGGAATGAATCCGGCTACCTTTGTTTCTCTTGTTTTGTCGAGTTTTGCGAATATCTGTGAAAAGCTTGATCAGAGCAATGCATGAAAGCCTAATTGCGAAACTCCATTAAGTTTAATTTCGATGTAAAACAATGCGTACAAAAATTTTGCAGTAGATATAGTACTTCGGCGCGAACAAAGGACACCTTTCAAGAATAAACAAAACCCGTTCAAAGCAAAATAAAATTGGGCTTTGTAAAATACGTTCTGTGTAAATGTGTAAGCATCTTAATTAAAACGAGGAATTCAGAACAGTCCCTTCTTAGTTGAACAGAATATACATGTGAAAAATATAATTATATATAATAATAATAATTAAAATTTTTGTTGTATCTAGAATTAATTATTATAGTAACTATAATATAATAATAAGAGTTGGAATACAAACTTTCAAAATGCTATCGAGAACAAGCTCGTTTCTTTTCGAATTCATCAACGCTCAAGTGACACCCGATAACTCGTTCATAATGAAAAAGTCTTTAGATAGGAAGAATGATCAACACTTTAATAATTGCATTATTTTGTAGTTATTTCAACGATGTTTAAAAATAAAAATTACTATTTATAACAGTTCATGAAATTTGGTTATTGTAAGCTATGAATAGAGCCTTTTTTTTGTTAAAACTAGAAACGGAAATAAAACGGGAAGGTTATGTAACAAGGTTATGTCAAGATACATTAAATGAATACATAAATATTATTCTTGCATGTTCTTGATAGATTTGTTAGATAGCGTGAAAACATTCATTACTAACATAAAAATTTGCTTAAAAACACCCCGCAAAACATGAATATTTTTTCCTTCTGTTTTTTCAAATGTAATATAGGTACATGGTTCCTTTTGTAGCGAACAGAAAGCATTTATTATGGTTACGTGCGTAACTACAACCGAATTAAATAATTTCGTATCTTGAAAGAGTTACGATATTTCTTGTAAAAAATGTAGAGGAAACGTATGTTAGTAGAATGTTTATGAAAGCATGTAGTTTATTTAGAACACAATTAAAATATTTAATTAACAAAATAAAAAAAAAATGCTAAAAAATAACCGCTCTCTCTGATTTTTCGCTTAATGTCAATGTATTGTGTTTAATTAATAATAAGATGAGTAACTCATAATTTATTTACTGGTAAATTCAATATATCTGGACAAATTGAGTATATTTATATATAGCTTATTCTACAGAAATTTAAAAATATTCAAACACTGTGCGATCCTCCACTTAACTGTCAAATCATGTTATTCATAAACTAAAACTGACTAAATAAATTTAAAAATACATATAAGAAAATTGCTGTGTAAAAATGGTTTAAAAGGTCGGTTGAACTGCACAGAATAATTCTTAATATACCCGAGAACAGGAGGACGTGTTAAAGTTTAATAACAATAATAATAATAAATTATGAATTTTTGGAAATTTTGTTTTCAAAAATAGCGGGGTATTTTGAATTGTTTCACACAATTCGGCCATTGGTCAAGATTTTCCACAGTTGTTGTATATTCTAAAGCAAAAGACTAGAGAAATAAATTTGAAAAATTTAATCTAGATATCTAAGATTAGAATGCATTTTTGGACGTACATGTATCGAAAAATGAATTATTTTTCTTGGGTCGATTTATAAACTTGCCGCGGACGTTGCTGTTCGCCGTTGACGTAAGATAAATACGCAGCGAAGGTATGCGTCGTTTATATCATCCGTTGACGTTGCCGCTGAAATTTGACGTGCGCTATGACCAACTTTTAACTTTCGCCGTTACGTTGCCGTTGACGTTGGGTTTTCAACCAATCAAATTGCGGTAGCAGGCAAAATATAAACCCCGCCCACCCACCCCATCTCAATTCGATGAGTTTTTTTTATTCTTAGAAACTTAAAACACGTTTAAAATGGTAAATTTTTTTACGTAAATATGGATTTTGCAATTAGGCTCCGCCCTTAGGTCTGCCGACGAATGAAAACTTCATTACTGTTTAGATCAGGGCAGGTATGTGTGGAACTTAATCTTTGGCTTTAATTTTTTCTTAATATATACAGTATTCTTAGATTAACATGATACTCGAAAATATGTCTTACATGGTAATTTCTTATACAGAAATAACAAGGATTTTCCATTTAAATTCCACCCCTTTGGCTCTCGGCAATTAAAAAAAAACATCACAATTGAGATAGGGTGGGTGGGTGGGGCTTATATTTTGCCTGTTTTCTTAATATACGTAGTCGTCTTTTTAGAACAAAAAACGTAGAACCTATTTAAAAGGGTAAATTCTTGTAGACAAATATGGATCTTGCGATCCTCGATCTGATAACCAATGAAAAATTCATCACAATTGAGAATTGCGATCGGGGCGGGTATGGGTGGCGCCTAATCTTTGACTTTATTTTATCTTAATATACGTAGTATTCTTTGAACAACACGATACTCAAAAACATGTTCTTAATATCTCGCACAGAAATAAGGATTTTGCAGTTAAGCTCCGCCTTCTTGGCTCACAACGAATAACAAAAACCATCACAATTGAGACAGGGCGGGTGGGCGGGGCTACATTTTGCCTTTCTTTTTTCTTAATATGTGTAGACATATTTCGACAACAAGAAACTTAAAACATGTCTAAAATGGTAAATTTTTTTAGTAATCAACTTAAAGTTACTATCAACGGCAACTTGGCAACGAAGTTTATAAATGAAAATTTTCAGCTCTAAAAGGAACATCAGCAGGAACAACAACTGAAACGGGAACTTAAACGTCAACACTTTTAGATTTATATCAGAATCATTCTACAAATTTCAAAATTTTTCTTTTAATTTGTTTCCAAAACAAAACTTAATGAAGATATTTTTTCTTAAAAAAAATATATTGTATACACCTGGTTTCCAAGCTGTTTACTTTTTCTTTATCCTTTACACAGTTAGTTACACACAATGCTTTATTTTATGTTTTAAACGATATTTTATTTATAAATCTGTCTTTCTGATTGTTTCAAATTTAATTGAAATTTAAAGATTAATAAGATATACTTTTTCCATTACAAAAATCGATACGAGGAACATACGATAATTTTTGTACGAATTACATTTCGGTTGAGCAATACGTATTTATTTGTGTAACTACTAAAAGGTAGCAAGTTTTCGTATCACTGTTTGCTTGTTGAACATCTAGACGTCATTTGTAAATCAGTGGAAATCATAATGTTAAGCTTGCCTTTAATTTTAAATTATATCGTAATTATATTTGTTATACCAATTTTATGTTATTTTCGCTGTATTTATTCATCACAAAGTAACATTTTTCACTGTGATATCAAAAAACCGTAGGGGCACAAAATAAATTATTTGACATTTGTAACATGTACTGTTCATTAGTATTCTACATTTTCGTTCTAGGCGAATGAAAAAATTGGATATCGGATGATTTGTGGCGCAGAACATCGTTTAATAAATAACACAGTCTGAATGTGCAAAAATCAATAGTGCAAAAAAAAAACTTTTCATTTGTAACAGATAAAATCGTTCATGTGCTCATTCAATGTGCTAAAATTATTTACGACTATTTAATTTTAATATTCGTGGAGTGTCACTGTCATACTCGAGTGAACGAAAATAAAAATTACCGAAAAAAATTAAGTATCTACAAGTGCAATAAGTAAATATTTTAAGGTGGAATTTAGTTGAGCCAAAAAATTTTTATTTAGAGTAGGCTATGATCACCGAGTGTGATGGCCACAACATAGTCTACCCTAAATGCAAATTTTCTGGATCATATATATATATATATATATATATATATAATAAAATAGTAGGTATCATGAAATAACAAACAATTTTTGGGTACAATTTCAACATTGGTCAATAACAAATCGGAAAAATATTGCAGTGGTTGTGATTTTACTGCGTTTATAAAATAACCATTTCAAGTTACAAGTAACCACATCTTTTTATGAAATCAAAA